TTTAATTTTTTTTTTGCTATGTAAGTGATACTCTATTTTATTATTTGCACTTACTACTTGTTTATTGCTGTCATCATAGGAACTCAGTTAATTTTGGTATGTTAATTTTATACCCAACAACATTGATGAACTGCCTTATTAATTATAATAGTGTGTTTTCAGAATGTCTTCTAATTTTATTATCTGTCAATGATGACAGTTTTAATTCTCTATTTCTAACATTTCATCTCTTACTAGAGACCCGGTGAATAAAATTTGTGCAAGAGTAGGCCTTCCTTCCCCCTGCTGCGGGCACCAGCTTCCTCTGGTACCTGGGACCCAGGCTTCCCTCGAAGCCCCGTTTTCATCCAGAAGGATGTCTGGGCTAAATAGCATATTACACTTTTATTATTATAGATTTTTCTTGTCTTATCACATTATGTAGCATTTTCAATGGACATTAAGCAGTCATAGTGGGTATTCTTATTTTGTTCTTGACTTGCAGAACTGTTTCTCATGCTTTATCATTAACTATGATGTAGGATTTGGTTAGGAACCCTTTATCAAATTAAAGAAAATACCCTTCCATTTATAGCTTACACCTTTGTAACATGTGCAATTTCATAATCTCTGTGCCTTCTTTTCTTCACCTGTAAGATGGGAAAATTATTACTATGTCATGACACTCTTGGGAGGATTAAAGGAGCTAACTGTAAAGTTCTGCAGAGTGCCTGACACTTAATAAAAATAAACACCATATCTTAATAACTATGTGTATTAAATTATTTTAATCATGGCAAGGGAAAAGGTGGACAAATAATGTTTTAATCCAGAGTTGTGAGATTTATTGTATCTTATAAAACTCTTTGATTTCACTTTAACGCTTTGTTATTTAGAAATAAAATTAACAAAAGCATTGCTCTGTGCTTGTTAAGGTTGGGGAAAAATTGTAGAACCTTATTTTGGCTTATATTCACTCTGTGTGCAGTGACTGTGTCTTCCTGGAGGGCCAACTAGCAGCAAACAGTATTTGTAAAATTGTTCACTTGCTTTACCTAGTCTAAGACATTAGTGAATGCCCCTCTAGAATATAATTGTTTCTCTAAAATGCTGCAAGTTATTCTCCCCAGGTTAGGTAGCCTCTTCAGCCCCTTAATGGTTCTGTAATTATAGAAATGAATAGTGAGCACAGGCCCTGTGTCAGGTGCTATCCATTCATTTAGTCCTCACAACGTTAGGAGGGCAGCTTTCTTACTACATCTTACATATGAGGAAATCATATCTTTGCAAAGTTAAGTAACTTTACCAAGTCACATGTCAATAACGAACACCACCAGGATAGAAGCACAGGCAGTCTTACTTCAAACTCCCTGCTTTCATCATTTCTCCAGATTGCCTCTCAGGTAGTTGACTTGCCTGTTTAGGGCCCTTTAATTGCTTCTTGACAGCTACTACCAACATTATAGCTGCATTTTGGTGTAGGTTCTAGATGGTTGTGACCGTAATGCTGATGGGAATAAGCAGCAAAACAGATCTTCTGATATATTACTGATGACATCGTGAATAGGTACAGCCTTTTCTTTTTGGAAAGCATTTTGGCATATATTTTAAGAGCCATAAAATGCTCATATTTTTTGACCTAGTTAATGCCACTTCTGGGAATCCTCTAAAAAAAATAGTCCAGTATGGAAAAAACCTTAAGCACCCAAGTGATCAGCATGGCCATGTTTGTAATAGAGCAAGTGGAAGCAGCACTACACGTTCAACAGTAAGGGATTGATTATACAAGTGGTGGTGTATTTACTTAGGCAGACAATAAAAATGAAGTCTGATGCACATCGACAAAAAACAGCCCTGTGTTTTAAAAGCAGCATGCAGAGCAGTATGGGTACTAAAATTACAGCCTTTACAGATACGGAAAAAAAGATAGGAAATAGAAAAATGATTGTGGCTACAATTTTTCTTATTATTTTTCAAACTTTTTGTCATGTAGATTCACTTCTAATTTTAAAATTGGAATCGCATGATTGGTAAATACTTCTGTGTATTGGTCTTACAGTGACTGCAGGCAGCGTATTAGGAACATGCAGAGAACGTCACTGGAGACAGGCAAACTCCAGGAACCGTGTAGGTGCCTCAGGTACTGGTTGTGTGAACCTGGGCCAGCGACTGTGTGTCTCAGGAGACTCCGTTGGTCCACAAAGGGAGCGGTGCTGTTTGGGAAGTAGCATGAGTAGGTTTTTTACAGTCAGGGGACTTCGCTGCGAGTCTTTGGTTCTTCTCAGACAAGCCACTCAACTGTGTGAAGTTCAATTTCCTCATCCATAAAAATGGAACTAGTGAGAGCAAGGCCTGGCACTCTGTTCACAGATGCTCTGAAAATCTTCCGTTCAGTTATGGCCCTTATAAATTGCTCCTCACCTTTCTTTATCCTCGTGTGACAGGAGCAACTGTCGTCTTTCAGCTAAATTCTCTTGCCTCAAATCTTTTGAGCAGCAGTTTTTATACGTTAATCTTCTGCCTTCTGGCGTAACCTGTTATCCATAATTTAGAGTTAAAAATGAAGATAAGAAAAATGTGGTGATTCAGTATTGCTGGCTAGATTTCCATTTTTGTTTTAATCATTTTTTTTCTAATTATACAAATGTAATAAATGCTTATTGTCAAAGGTTTGGAAAATATAGAAAGCAGAAAGAAGAAAATTATACCCTATCTTTCCACTCAGTGATAACCATTATATACAGTTAATGTTATTTCTTTTTAGGCTTTCCTGAATATCTGATTTCTTTTTAAAAGGGGAAATGTAGGAAAGCTCCTATCAGAACATTTGGCTTATTTGGGGCAAGTTTAACATGATGCTTTGTGTTCATTTGAGACAGTTTAACAAATAATTCTTAGATAGGGATAAGACTAAGCTAGCAATGGGGAACTGTGGGAGGATGGGGTATTCTGTAATTCTGATACCTATCAAAGAATGAACTTATGCAAAGTATAATTACCTAAATCATGATTCCTGGACTTATTTTTTTTTAATTTTATTGATTTTTTACAGAGAGGAAGGGAGAGAGATAGAGAGCTAGAAACATCAATGAGAGAGAAACATTGACCAGCTGCCTCCTGCACACCCCCTACAGGGGATGTGCCTGCAACCAATGTACATGCCCTTGACCGGTATCGAACCCGGGACCTTTCAGTCCGCAGACCGATGCTCTACCACTGAGCCAAACCGGTTTCAGCATGATTCCTGGACTTTTTTAGGACAATTACAATCTATATATATTTAAAAGCCTAAGCAATCATTACAATCGAACGACCAGTCAACATGACACACACTGACCAGCAGTGGGCAGACACTCAATACAGGAGCTGCCCCCTTGTGGTCAGTGCACTCCCACAGCCAACCAACTGTGGCCCCTTACCTCGCCCCCCCATCCAGCCTGCCAACCTCCTTGGGTCCCTCCCCCCCAGCCAGCCAACCTCCCCCCCCCATAGGCCGCCATTGCCGGCCAGGCCGCAGGACCCCACCCATGCGCGACCTCTAGTTTGAAATAATTTGTACTGTTTTCATTATAAGTAACTTTGTACTCTTTCAAACCATGAGTTGTGAATTTTGGTTTGGGAAATACAATCATCATACATAAGCTTAGAATAAAGGAGCTTGCAAAATACACTCTTTTTTTTTTATCTTGGCCTTATCCTTCTTAGAACATGCAGTTTTAAAAAATCACCAGTCCCTAGCTGCTGGGTTGTCTCAATGGATAGAGCATCAGCCTGTGGACTGAAGAGTCCTGGGTTCACTTCTGGTCAAGGGCATCCCAGTAGGGGGTGTGCAGGAGTCAGCCGATCAATGATTTTGTTTTTGTTTTTCTCTCTCTCTTTCCCCTCCCTCCCTCTCTCCTTCTCTCTCCCTTCCTCTGTGAAATCAATAAAAATATGTGGGTTTTTTGTTTTTTTTAATCACCAGTCCCTGTAATGTCCTCTAGAGAAAAGTAGGACATATATTCTGTGACAGAACCAGCAAACCACAAATACCTGGGAAGACTTAGCCTGAGCTGCCGTGGGACCAGGCATTGATGTCACCTTACTCTGGTGCTGTACCTAAAATTGGAAAGGAAAAAATGTACTTGTCAAGGGATTAAGAGCATCAATCCCTTTATTTTCCGGGCTTTACTGTATGTGGTGACTTTAAAAATGAGGGAAAGGTCTTTTCCCTCTTCTTTACTCTTTTTTCTTCAGAGCAACGATCAAATTACGATAAGGCACACCCCATATAAATAATCCTGTGTGGCATATCACTCCCCCTGCACTGGGGAGGGCCTGAGAAATGTTTGAGGTCAGTGTATGGTCTTGCCTCCTCACTCTCCTTTAAATACTCCACTGTGGCTTGTGCACCTTTGACTTCTGAGGTCTGCTGCCCCAGCTGAGACTCTTGATTGGCTGGGAGTAGGTGTCCCTCCCTCCTGCTTAGTAGCTGCACATCAGGGAAGTCCCTTGTCCTTTGGCGTCATTTTTTTGACAAGGCTGAGCCATCACCCCTCACTGATTCTTGCTTGTTAACCCTCCCCAGCCTATAAGTCTAGTGATTTTGAGGAAAAATCACTTGACTTATTTATCGCACAGTACGAGGATCTGGTGTAGGATGTAATTAACTTCCACAGCTTTAGGCAGTACCTAGGTGCAATGAGATAGTGAGAATTTGGAAGTGTCATGTGAGAGTGGACCAGGTAACTATAGTTTGGAAACTTTGTATTTCAAATAATTACTGCGCTTGCTTGAGATCCATTGGTTCCCTACAAAAAATAAGGTCTGATCTGAGACTTTTGAGTAGTAGGAACTGCTAGGGGAAGTGGTATTCAGGACTGTAAAAGGGAGAAAACCACATAGAAAGTTGTTATCTGCATTTACATTTGTTCTTTTGATAGAAAATGATCAGCTTCATTTAATTTACTGTACTTTTGGGGCTTTTTTGGTAATTGATTACTGATAAAAGTGATTTACTTTTTTTTTTTTTTTTTTTTCAGTATTGCCTGTCCGGGCACCCAACCTTACCATGCAATGTGCTTAAATTCAAATCAACCACCATTATGCTGGACTGTGGACTGGACATGACTTCCACCCTCAATTTCCTTCCTTTGCCACTTGTTCAAAGGTATGTGTTGATGCAACTTGAGACAAACTGAGCTTTTGTTTGTTGAAAAATGGGTACCCATCTATATAAAGGTTACCTGTGTCGTATATTTTGTCCTAAGTTTATTTTGTTCCCTTCCTTAAAATAAAAGTTCTTCATCAAAATCATTTCCTTTGGCTGGGATGATGGAAAGTGTTGTATTGATTTATTGATGACTTCTTTATTATAAGTTCTGAGCCTCTGTAAAATGTTCCTGCAACTGCTCAGTGCAAGTGAGGTCATGTGTATTTCATCTTTCCTGCTAATTCGTATAAATGGTCAACTGATGAGCCCCAGAATTGAATTTTAGAATCACTTAACTGCCTTGGCAGGGACCTGACATCATAGAGCCTGACAGTTCTTTTTGATAGGTAGCTATGCACTATTTTTATACGGGTCAGCTGTAGCTATCTTCGTATTGGATATGAAGCCGAAGTCCCTGTCTTAAAGCAGATAGGTTATCCCAGGAATATAGTCAGTGCTGTTTACTTAAGACCTCATCTAGGAAGCTTGCTATTATTTAGAAACAGCAGTTTATTTTTTTATTTTATTTTTTTTATCAATCTTTATTGTTCATATTATTACAAAGGTTTCTCATTTCTTCCCCCCTCCATCAGGATCCCACCCCACCCTCCACCCCCTTCCCCTCCCCCATTGTCCTCATCCATAGGTGCACAGTTTATGTTCAGAAACAGCAGTTTATTTAAAAAAAAAAAAAAAAAAAAAAAAAAAAGTGCTAACTTTTAGAAGCTCATTAGTCCCAATAGCAAAAATTGATGTTGTGGATCTACAGAGTCTCCCGAGACACACAGTAACTGGCCCAGGTCCACACAACGGGTAACTGAGGCACCTGCAAGGTTTTCTTCAGAACCATCTTTTAAATTACAAATCTCAGCTCACCTCTCACCTATTTACAACAATGATCTTTCATTGCTCTCAGGATGCACACCAAGTACATCTTGGTACATTAAGCTTTACGCCTGTCCCTCTAGTATCTTGCTCTTTGTTTCCTTTCAGTTTCAAGGAAATCTTATCTCCTGCCCAAGACAGTCACACATTGTTCTTTCAGCCACGGAGGCTCTTCTCCCCCCCCATCCCCCCACCCCACTCTCTTTAGCCTATTTAGCCAGAGCTTATCACTCCGATCATTTATGACTCCAGTTTCTACACAGAAGCGACACAGAGATGGCTTTCTAGTTGGATGAGGGGGGGAGGGAGAGTATGGGACTCTTCCTGAAATTTCATTGGACTAACCTTTTAAAGCGTGTCAAACTCAAAGGCTATATCATGGGCCAAATAAACAAGGTTTAAGTTTATGTGAGCCACAAAAAAAAAAGCTTCAATTTTTCATGGAAATGTAGGTTTATTTCTATAGAGACATGCTGAATACAAAGGGCTGCAATAAATGAGTAAAGGGTAACAGAAAATAATAGAACATTTTAGTAAAAATTAATATTTTTTCTTGAATATTAACTTACCAGACATGGAATAACTGCACAAATTAATAAGGGTAATGCAAATAAACCTATTTTTCTTGTTCTCCGGAAGCGAAATATTTTCTGTTGCACACACCAAACAAGTCAGTACAAGACTAATGATGTGGCAATTGGCTGCTAAAATATCAGCTTGTTAATATTAGTGGATAGAAATGGTGCGCCTGCGCTTAAGGCCCGTAAGGGAAATGAATGCAACAGGATTATAGTAATCAGTTATTAGAGAATATTGTAGTTTGTCATTAATAATTATGTATAACAAGATATTGTAAAAATTACGTTACAAAATTTTTATTAGAAACTATTAGAACGTTTCTTACATACTGTTATATTGGCGGGGCTGCAAAAATATTCATTGTGGGCTGCATACTGCCCACAGGTGGGGAGTTTAACATGCTTGATGTAAGGTGTCCATGCCAGAGGCTGGTGAGAGTGAGAGGAGGAGAATACTGAACTCGTAGCCTACTTTCTCTGTTCCCTGCAAACCCTGTCCCTTGACCCAGTTACTCCTTGACTACTACTGTCCAGATCTCCCTCAGTCATCATAGACCCAGGCAAGTCTCTCAATGTTGCCCAGAGCCATGGTCAGCAAGCTGCGGCTCTCGAGTCACATGCGGCTCTTTGGCCCCTTGAGTGCGGCTCTTCCACAAAATACCACAGCCTGGGCGAGTCTATTTTGAAGAATGACTATTTTGAAGTCGGGGCCAGTGACTGAAAAACTATAAAATGCTCTAATGTCTCATCTTGCCTTTTTCTTTATTGTTCTGCGTAGTGTTCTTTTCATTTTCCCTAAATGTACTGCTAAACTGTTTGGCTTTTTAATGATCCATTGCCATATAAATCTTAAGCTTGATACAACAGGGTTCTTTTTTTCATCTTTTTAATTAGTATTTTTGGTGAGTGTTGCTGCCAATAATTTCCAGCTGTTTTTAACTTTATGGAGACAATATAGTCACCTTGAAATTACTAAGGATTATAATCTATTTAGGATAATTTAATCTTTTGTTTTGCAGTCCCAGGCTGTCTAATCTTCCCGGCTGGTCCCTAAAGGATGGAAACGTTTTCTTGGACAAGGTAATGAGTAACTGAAGTGTAGCTACACCCAGTGGAAAACCCTCATGTCATATGAGGGCCACCCATCAGTAATGTGATTTATGGGCTCATCCTCTCCACCCCCATGTATTCTCCCTGAAAAAAATCCCAAGATCCATGTAGGGTCTGTAGTATTTGGTGATTTTGAAGAGCCTTTTAAGGAACTCCCTGTTCAAATTCAGGTCCAGTTTTCTTATGTGAAAAAATTAAGAGCTGCAAATACATTTTATCACCACAAAGAGAAAACTAGAATTTTTGTAGTTGCAATGAGATTTTTTAGAAGTGATATTATTTAACGAATTCCACCAACTGTATGGCTGGAAGGAGTAAACTTTAAAAGAAACAACAACTTTAAAACTCTCTAGTATGTGAGTTTTAAACTGTTTCTGTCAGAGGTCAGATCAGATAGGGCATTTTAAAGTTTGGGTCTTTGCAGGGTGAGGGGAGGTCACAGAAGGTTGCGGGAAGGTATTGTCATCATCTGATTGGGTCACTCTGATCTCTAAGTGAGGAACAGACTGAGTGCTGGTGTTTAACTTCCCAGGCAGTACGTTCTGGGGGGATTAGGGTGAAAACGTGTTCTTAGTAAGTTTGTGTGGGGGGCCTTCCAGGCTATGTTCTGTGGTCTTATTCCAGCCTTTCCTGCTAGCCAGGAATGGACAATGTAGTAGATAATGAAAAAAGAACATAGTTCCAGGAATCTAAGATTTGGGGTCCTATCAACTCTAATCATTGACTAACAAGGCCTAAAGTAAATAACTTATTTTTTCTAGGCTATTAGGTTTTTGACATTAGATTATCTTTTTAAAAAAATACATTTTTACTGATTTCAATGAGGCAGGGAAATGGAGAAAGAAATAGAAACATGAATAATGAGAGAGAATCATCAGTTGGTTGCCTCCTGCCCACCCTCCACTGGGGATCGAGCCTGCAACCTGGACATGTTCCCTGACCAGGAATTGAACTATGACCTTCTGGTTCATAGGACAATGCTCAACCACTGAGCCACTGTGGCTGGTTGACATTATATTATCTTCAAAGTAATTTCTTCTTCAGATCATTATTTAGGCAGTTAACTTATAAATGAGAGACCAAAGGTACAGAAAGGGTTAAAAACTTAAAAGCTCATCCATGCCATTCTTAGTCTTCTAAATCATTCTTTCCCACATCTCAGGATTAAAAGACTGACTATGTTTAAAGATCCTTAAAATGATTCATCTAAATAAGACATTTCCTTCTTGTAATAGATATCTATATACACTGAGTGGTCAGATTATTATGATCTCTGAACACATAATAATCTGGCCATTCAGTGCGTGTGTGTGTGTGTGTGTGTGTGTGTGTATGTATTAGAGCCCCTGTGCATGCATTCATGCATGGGTGGGGTCGGGCCAGCCTGGTCAGTGGGAGGGGACATTGGCAGTTGCCCACATCCTGGTTGAGGGGACAATTTGCATATTAGCCTTTTATTATATAGGATATACACTGAGTGGCCAGATTATTTTGCATTCAGAGATTATAATAATCTGGCCACTCAGTGTATATGTAAAAGCCTAAGCGACCATTACAACTGGTTGACCAGTCGCTATGATGTGCACTGACCACCAGGCGGAAGACAGTCAATGCAGGAGCTGCCCCCTCATGGTCAGTGCACTCCCACAGCCAACCTCCCACGGTCCCTTCCCCAATCCAACCCTGATCAGGTCTGGACGAGATGTGCCCTGATCGGCCCTGATCGCTGGCCAGGCTGAGGGATCCCCACCTGTGCGTGAATTGGTGCACCGAGCTTCTAGTTGTTAAATAAAGAGGTGGTTTTTTTACAGAATTAATTTCTGTGAACTGCACCCCAACCTCAAGTGCAAGCCAAGTGTATAATTTGAAATGAGATTTCTCTAAAAGTTAACCCGTAAAATTATGTGACATTCAGGAGTCTGTGCACCTGAAATCAGCCTGACTCTTCTGATGGCTATAAATTATTTTTCCCTGAGAAAGGCTCAGAAGCATCCCATTACTAGTGCATTGTGAGCAAATGACTTGTGTATGTGAGAGCATTTCATTAGAAGAGAGAGGTGAGTAAAACACAGTGACATTGCGAGTGCACAGCATGGCAGGCCTGCTTCTGCCGTCAGGAGGGAGAGCCTCGGAGGAGGCTTTGTCACATGAGGTAGGCATGCTGTGGCACGTGTGGACTTGTGGGGAAGAAGGTTATGTAGCCAGTTTAAGACCAGCCAGAGCTTTGAAATTCCCCAGGATTTGTCTGCAATCATTTTTAACCTCATCCTAAGGGATTTGGGAGTCTTCTCTCATTAAACATAATTGTTTATTTGTTTTTAGCTGGCAGATGCATTGTAATTAAGAACTGTTTGCAGTCTCTTTTTGGCTCAGCCTTTCACTGGTTAAATGGTATTCATGTAAAAAGAGGAATTAGAGTTTACAATGAAAGGCGAGGGGAGGAAATATTCTGTCAAGGGTCTGCTATGAGATTTGTGAAATTCAAAAGGAAAATAATATATATGTTCAGATAAAGATTGAGAGTAAAATCATTCAGACTGAAATATAAATATAGATGCATATACATAGGAATATATAGAAAAATATGTTCAGTGACTAATGAAAACCCAATAGGACAAAATTCTTGTTCTGGAAAGAACCAACTGTCAACCAAACTATATATCTATATATATAAAAACCTAAGTGACCGAACTACCAGACAACCAGTCACTGTGATGCTTACTGACCACCAAGGGGCAGATGCTCAACACAGGCGCTGCCCCCAGTGGTCAGTGGGATCCCACAGCAGGAAGGCTGCTTAGCGAGGCCAGAATGAACAGGGATGGCGCAGCGCCCATCCTGGGCTCAGGCTTCTCCCTGGCTGCCTGCCGCTTCACCCTCAGGGATCAGCACCCACAGGGATTGGGCTGAAACCATCAGTCTTATATCCCCCAAGGGGTCCTGGATTGCAAGAGGGTGCAGGCCAGGCTGGAGGACCCACTAGTGCATGAATCCGTGCTCTGGACCTCTAGTTTTTTGTGTGTGTTTTGTTTTTTTGTTTTTTGTTTTTATAAAATCACAGATAGCTTTGACTGGATGGCACAAAACATTCTCCATAGATTTCAGTTTCAGGTATCAGGGAAGACAGCAACTCTAGTGGCCTTCTGGAGGCATTGCAGCAGACCCTGTTGGTGGCTCACTGTTTCTCTTCAGTGTGCTCTACCACGCTTCCAACTGCCAATCCCTGGATGGTTCACCAGAGAGTTTTCCCTGCAGCACTAAAATGCAGAGGTTCCTCTATAAATACCTCAGATTCCATGTCCCCTGGGTAGGATAACTCCAAGGTAATTTATACACCAAAGTCCCCATGGATTAAGTCCCACTTGCCCACAGAGGTGTATAGCTCAATAATACATCCATTTTGGCCCTCTTCCTTTCCTTTTGTCACTTGCCCACACTCCCCCTGTTTTTCGGCACCTTCCATTAAAGCTTGCACTCACCCTTTCCTCGGGGATGTTTGTGTGGGAGTCCAAGCTGAGGCAGGCATATCCAATGTGGTAGGTCATAGGCAGCGTGGGGAATTATACTACAAATATGCTTTTTTCTTTTGAATGATTACATTTGGTTTATAATCTCAGATAAATCGCATGCTCTGCAAGGACAAAGATTATATTCATGAAGATAATGGGGGGAGGTGGTAGTTTAATTCCTACCTTCTACTCTTCATCCCCCTCCTTTCTTGCCCTTTGGCCCTGATTCCATAATAAAATCACTGGAGGTGCTTGTTATAAATACAGGTTCCATGACCTCTTCCCCAGAGTTTCTGACCCCTTGGCTGTTAAGTAGGGCCCAGGAGTCTTGACTCCATCAGTGTGTCCATGTGTATTCCAATGTCGCTATTATTCGAGAAGCATTGGATCATGAATTATGGAAGCAGCGTGTGTCCACACATGGCTTCCTCTAAGAGCCATCAAGAAATATGCATTCCGGTCCTGAGTCCGCCACCTACCAGCATTTGTTATCCTGAATAAGACACCTAACCTCCCTGAGCCTACACTGGAAACAGTTGGCCTGCAACACCTTCTAGCTTCCCTCCAACTCTAGCCATCTCTGATTCTTCATGGCAAATATGGTTTGAGGATGAAATTTCTTTGTTGCTGTATCAATTGGATATTTCTCCCTAGGAATTTTCCTTTTCATTTCTTTCAGGAGCTGAAGGAGTGCTCGGGCCATGTATTTGTGGATTCTGTGCCTGAATTCTGCTTACCAGAGGTAAGATTAAAGTGAATCTCGCTGTAGAAACAAAGCCTATCTCATCATCTCAAAATGAAGTCAGGAAATAATTTTAAGGGGTTTAGCTTCTCTCTTCACGTTAAAATGAATCTGTTATTTCAGTCACTTCGTTACACAGCTGAAATACCATTTAAGAGTTCTTTCTGTTGTCTGGGCATCATTTGTCACTCTCCTCCTCCTGTTCCTAGCTCTTTCCATAATCCCCACTAACACTTGTGCTCTTGAGCAAAGTAAGGAAATAGCTCAGGCCTTTGTTTTGTAATTACAGTGCCTGTGACTTAGATTAGCCCTGCTTTTCCTCGTCTTGCTTAGAGTGGTAACTGGGATTGCTGTTCTTCAGCCAGTGCAGTAAACTGTAAAATTTCTTGCTGACCTGAAAGATCACATTGACTATTGCTTGAAATTCACAGATTCTGAACTGAGTTATGGATATCTGTCATTTAGTTATTATCATCATAGTGAGACTCGTTATGAGAGTCCAGGGCCAGTTTCATTCTTTAAAGGAAACAGAGATCAGTTTCCATTAGTTTTAAAGGAAACGAATCTCAGCTCACAGGCCCAATCCCCTGAGCGGCCTGGGCGCTCTCAGCAGACAGATGGAGTGCAGGGAATCCAATAGCTAATCCGGGGTTCCTGAGGAAATCAATGAGAAGCTACCATCCTGTCTTCTCCTTGCCGCCCAATGGGTCACAGCACCGGTAGGAAATTCCTTTACAGTCCAGTGCCAAAGACAAAAGAAATTTAGAGCCCTTCCCCTTGTTTTTGTCCTCTCTTCCTCCCTCTCTTTCCATTTCTACACTTTCTTTGATACCCTATAGGTAACCATTTTTCTCTCTTCCACGTATGTGTGTGTACTCTTTGGAATACCTGAGTGAATGAAAGGAAGGAAAACAAAGAAGGACGTGGTCATTGGAGGTAGCAGCAAAGGGAGAGAGTCTGAGGTAAAGTAGTAAGGATAAGGGTGAAGGAAGACAGTGATCCAGAATCCTGAGCTCTCCCTGCCTGCAGTTAGTGTCCCTGTCATCTTCCTTCGTCATCGAGGAACTGGCGGGGCAGTTCCTCACCTGTGCAGAGACTCATAATCCTGGTGCTGTGTGTATTTCCAGCTCACCGCACACGGCACTGACTGCTACACCCTCAGTTTATGGACAACAGTGTGGAACCTGGGTCGGTGTTCTCATGATTTTTTTTGGCCTGCTCCGTGGGGTGCTAACCTTTGAAATTAGACAATTAGCATTTTGCCATTCACTTTTGGCAAGCTCAAAGAGTATTGATATATTTAGGATTCTAGAGCCATATAATTTTTTTCAACTTCTGTCATAATTTGTGGCTTATATAACAATTAGTAATAGTTGCTATTTTAAGGTAGAACCAGGGCATTACATCATCAGGAGAAAGTAGGAGAGTCAGAGAATCAGGAGAGAGGTCTTACTAAGCCCAGACTTCACTGACTTGGGTGAATCGGGCAGACCTAACCCCAGTCCTCATAAAGTTTATAATCTTGTATGATTACCTAAACATGCTAGTGTCCCCAAACTTCTACACCAGGGACTGCATATAAGGCCCAGGACAGTATAATAGGCAAGCAATAAATGGGGTAGTTTTGACCCAGTTTATAGGCTGTAGAATCCACGTGTCCATATACAGTTTAAAATTAAAATAATCTTTATTGGATTTCACTGAGTAAAAGTATGTAAGTAAATATATAAATGTGAGTATATAAACGTGGCCTGGATATTAAATTTATTTCTCGGATTAAAAAATCTTTATGTAGACACTGTTGACATATATGCAGACAGAATATATATATATATATATATATACCTATTTTCTTCCAGCTGTACCCACCAAATTTCTCATCATTATAGACTCTGGGCTGATTTTTTTATACATTAAAGAGAAATGTCAAATACTCTCACGCAGGCCCTGTACATGGCAGGGAAGGAAAGTAGAGAAGCTTTGGAGCATGGCTATTGCCTCAGCTGTCCTTCCCCATTTTCTTCTGGGTCTGTCGCTCTGTCTCTCCGTCTTCATGTCTTTGTGTAAAAAAAAGTGTTTCTAGACCCGGAGGTCACGGCTCGATCCCAGTCAGGACTCATGTCCCGGTTGTGGGCTCGATGCCAAGTGGGAGGCATGCAAGAGGCAACCAATCAATGATTCTCTCTCTCCCTCTTCCTTCCTCTCTGAAATCAATAAAAATATATTTAAATAAAATCAACAATAAAAGTGGTTCTAGAGCGGTGGTGGACATAGGACCAGCAGAATGCTACGTGATCTTTCACGGTGAAGACATTGTCTTGGAAGTTAATTGTACAACATGGGGTCAAGGGTGATGTAAATTGAATACTGTCATTAAGCCTTTTATTCACAGACATTGCCATTGCCCTCGGCAGTATGTAGCTTTTGACCTCGAATCTGCATGCTGTTCTCAGGAGCTGATTATGCCTCAGCAGCCTTATTAGATTAACTTATTTCATGTGTCAAGTCATTCAACCAGAAAATACCCACAGCAAAATGGTACATTGTCTCTGTCATTTGCAAAGAAGGCACAGACATCTCTGTCACTTCTCCGTGGGGGGCGTGCGATGACCCGTTCTTCTGAAAGACTTCCTTGGCTCGCAGCAGCTGTCCTCGGTGCACCACACACTTTCCCCGGGTAACTTCCATGAGGGGGACTCAGTGGCTGAGGTGATTGCGTCTCAGTTTTCCCCACAGAAGGTGCATGCTGCTTGTGACTGCATCCCTCCAGCAGCAGAGCGGAGGCCAGTCCTGTGCTGGCTATGCAGCTGGGAGGGGACAGAGATGACTCAGCAGCATTCTTGACCCAAGAGACATTCACTGTGTAAGGGACAAAGTGATATTTGAGTTGCCATGGTGCAGAGCAATAACTGCCATGAGAGGGACATGCATGAAGTGCCTGGCTGGTTCTGAGAGGTGGTTTCTTTCATCTGGGCAAATCAGCAAGAGAATCATTTCCTCAGAAGAAAGTTTTCATAAAATTTACTGAACATGGTAGCAGTTTTCCCTCACCTGTCATTTTACATGCCTTTAATGGGAAAAGGGGTAGATTTGGGGTTCAGAGTAGGGTAAAATAAGAGTATAATTTCCTTTTGTGACTCTGTCACTACTTTTTTTTTTCGGGGAGAGGGGTGCAGGGGAGGTGTCTATATCCAGTACTAGTGGTCAGAAGTTACCTTAAAAAAACAACAGAAGTCAGTTCCCACCCAAGCTGGTTTTGCTCAGTGGGTAGCTCATCAACCTGTGGACTGAAGGGTCCCAGGTTCAATTCCAGTCAAGGGCCTGTGCCTGGGTTGCGGGTTCGATCCCCAGTGGGAGCTTATAGGAGGCAGCCAATCAATGATTCTCTTTCATCATTGACATTTCTAACTCTCCCTCTCACTTCCTCTCTGCAATTAAAAAAAAAAAAAATCGGTTCCCACATTTGACTTTGGAGAAGCTGGTGTCTCTGTGCTGCTCCCTCTGTTCCCACGATCAGTGGTGGGGACACGTTGCATGCTAGTTCCCCTCACAGGTGTATTGTGCTGTCTCTGCATCGTGTTCCCTGGTCTCACCTGCCAGGCAGCATTTATCCTCATAAGTCTGACTCAGAACTCGGTTTAAGGCGCTGCTGGTGTCCTGGCTGTTTTCTCGTTGTTAGCTGTCCTGCTACCCACCGTCAATATCAGGAAACATCCTAACGTGAGAACAGGAGTGTCGCAGAAGACAGCATCATTCTGTAGCACCCAAACCACTCTGCATTCTGACAGTTTCCTCTTCCAGTCACAGCATGTTGATCTATGGGCTCGGAACAGATATGCATCATCCCCTCTCCTTTCTTTTCAGACGGAGCTAATAGATCTGTCTACGGTAGATGTGATCCTCATCTCTAACTACCACTGCATGATGGCGCTGCCCTACATCACCGAGCACACCGGCTTCACAGGCACGGTGTACGCCACCGAGCCCACCGTCCAGATCGGCAGGTGAGACCCTGCTCCGTCCCTTGAGCCTGAGGCTCAGAGCTCCTTCCTTCACTGGTGACTGTTCACCGAGGGCTGTGCCAGGAGTGATTGTTATTTCCTCCCTTGCAGCCGACCCCGAGAACAGGCATGAATAGACTGCTCTCCAGATAAAACAGATGGTCACTGGAATCTCCCAGAGGCTGATGCTGCCAGCAGTCTTCACTGTCTTTTTTTTTTTAAATCAAAACTGGGAGAAGGAGTTCCGAGACAGCTCCTCTGTGCAGATATTAATCAGGGGAGGTAATGTTTAATAAGATGCCCCAAGTAAGCACTGCGTGTGAAGAGCTTCCGGAGAAAGAAGAAATTTTATTTCTTTGCTTTCAAAATGCCCTCCTCCCCCACCCCCACCCCCCACCCCCCACCCCCTTTATCGATCAGTGCGGACTAAATGCAGACAGCATGTAGAAAACTAGATGGGTAAATTGTCTGGACTGTTAGGAGACTGAAACGTAGATCTCCAAGGAGTAAAACCTTAGGCCTCATTTGACTCTGAACGCCCTGCTGTCTCTTTCTCTGCCTCTCCCGAGCCTTTATGGTTGCTGCAAGTGACCATAGCATCAGTTAGTGAGAAGAAAATGACTCCAGGAGAAAGAATTATGTTGAAGCAAACTAATAAGTGTGGTATAAGATGAAGCCATCAAGACCAAAAGTATGGGTTCTAGTGTCTTGCAGAAGTCAAACAAGATGGAGTTACCGGAAATAAAACAGTATGTCCTTATTTTTGTGTCAAATCACATTACCAGCAGTGTGTATAGGAAAATGTAAGGGATCTGAGAAGAGACATGGGAGGTGATGGATCAATTTCAGGGAGAGTTTGAGGTGAAAGCATTGGACTCCAGTCTGAAAAAGTTACAGCTGTTCTCCTGAAATGGTAATGAGCTTGGTCCCAGATCTTAGATGCTGGGACTCATACTGCTCCTTCAAGTTGAAAAGAGGGGTGATGTTAGGAATAAATAAATAAATAAATGGAAAGTGAAGGCGCTCAGCATTCAAGTGCTTATGCATTGATGGTTGTTTGGGAAGGGATTGGAGTCAGTATGGATCATCTCTACTGGGTTATGCAAGGGGTCTCATGCTGTTGAAAATTTGCTTCCAGTTTATTGTTCTTCCTGTAGTTATCCAGGATTCTGACAGTCCTCTGTGCATGAACCCCTCAGAGCATGCCGACCATTGATCCCATCGAGTGGGCTATTTCTTACATTTCCTCATTGTGGTTCTGTGGTAATCCATCTCGTGATGTGCATAGCCTGCCCTTTTGTAGGTCCTTGAGTTAGGTTTTTAGGATCAGTCTTTAGAGCAGGGAACCTTTGGATATTTGTAAACCAAGGACCGTTTGGATATTTACAACATCATTCACGGGCCACACAAAATTATCACTTTAAAAATTAGCCTGCTGTATTTCGTCAAACAAACTCACTCCTAATGCCTTAGCAGGGCCAGACCAAATGATTTCCCAGGCCTTATGTGGCCTGAGGGCTAAACGTTTCCCACCCCTCCTTTAGGAAGATTCCATATGGAATTTGGTTAAGCCCTAAGACACACATGAAGAAAAACTTTACCAGTTTAAATTGGTCATTTAATATAATTTTATTTTCTTTTATTTGTTTTAAACATATTTTTATTGATTTTAGAGAGGAAGAGAGAGAGAACATCAGTGATGAGAGAAAATCTTCAATAGGTTGCCTCCTACACACCCCACACTGGGGATCAAGTCGGCAGTCCGGGAATCATACCTAGACTTCTGGTTCGTAGGTCAAAGCTCAATCTCCGGCCAGGCCATTTAATATCATTTTAAAAATCCAACCGACCCCTGCTGCCACCAACAGCAAGTCCTCCACAATCATTTAACTTTTTCTCCATTTGTATTTTTAGTTCCATAACCGCAGTGATCTTAGAGTGAAAATTAAACCAGAGGCCTATATATGACAGTGTTTGGAGACGAAAACATGCCAGGCTTGTTTTAGAGGTGAACTAAATCATTTATGTTCCAAATTTTTAACTTGGAAATTCAATAGGAGACTAGATTTGTATTCAGCTTTATGTGAAATGGTGCCCACATTCATATGCAGCAGAGGGAAAGGGGAGGAAGAAGGCAGACAAGCCCATTTCTGTTGGCTTCTGTGTTAGAGTGCGGTGTTTCCCTAGTTCTTCTGTGAATGTTCATCCCTTTTTTTTGTTTGTTGTTTAAACTCAGGCTTCTCATGGAAGAGCTGGTGAATTTCATTGAAAGAGTGCCCAAGGCGCAGTCTGCCTCCGTGTGGAAGAACAAGGACGTTCAGCGGTGAGCAGATCCGTCTGTCCCCCTTAGATGCTCTCCTCCCTGTTTATGAGAGGGTTATAATTGATTCAATCAACATTCTTAGAGAGGCAATCGTGCCATAGGCAAGGTGTTGTGCTGGGCCTGGGAGTGTTTAAAAACTAGTAAAACAGTTGTCTCTGACTTGAAGGTATTCAGGAGGTGACGGAAATCAGACAGTTAGCAGGTATAATAGATTACAAGTGGGATGGAGGAGGTTTGATGCTTGATCACAGTGCCGTGGGCACTCAGAGAATGAAGAACGGGAAGCTCTGCTTAGGGAAGCCGAGAGGACTTCCTTAGGAGTGACCTCCTCCTTAGAAGAAGAAAAGGACTTTTCCAGGTGAAAAAGATTCAGGCACAGCAGCCTAGGATATAGTGTATTCAGGGGACAGGGAGAAGTTCAGGGTGGATTAAACTGGGTAGAGTAGAGAAGATGAAACTAAGGAAGAACGTTGAGGCAAGATAATGAAGAAACTTAACGTGTCACGTTTGAATATCATTGAGAGTGGGAAGTCTGTCAGCGGGGGTTTATAAGGAGGAGAAGGACATGATCAAGTATTTGTTCTGGGGAAGGTAACAATAGCAGCATGGAGAGTGGGTGGAAGTATATAGATGGGGCCGGAGACCAGCAGGAAGACAGTGTCAGAAACCCAGAGGAGAGAACAGAGGCCTGAACTAAGGCAGTAGCAATGAACACAAGGTCTAGCTTAAAAGATATTTCTGTGATAAAATTGAAGAGAATTTGCCGAAACCAGTTTGGCTCAGTAGTAGAGCATCGGTCTGCGGACTGAAAGGTCCCAGGTACGATTCCGGTCAAGGGCATGTACATTGGTTGCGGGCACATCCCCGGTAGGGGGTGTGCAAGAGGCAGCTGGTCGATGTTTCTCTCTCATCGACGTTTCTAGCTCTCTCTCTCCCTTCCTCTCTGTAAAAAATCAGTAAAATATATTTTTTTTAAAATTGAAGAGAATTGGTAAGAACTGTGAAGAAGCTGAGATGTTGTAACTAGGAAGGTAAGAGGAGCCCTGAGTGGAAGCCAAGGGGAAAACCCGGGCTTGTCCGTGGTCTCAGATACTGCAGACGAATCAGCACGTAAGGTGGATGTAAGGTGGATGAGGCCCTTGGCTGTGGATGTTCTAGGGAGGTTAGTTTCAGTGGCCCCTGGATCAGAAACCAGAAAATAAGAGGTGAGGTAAGTAGAAAGATGATAGATGAGACAAGGGGGCAGCTCGGTTCCACTTCAGTGCTCTCACACTTCATTGGCGTGGAGGACAGCAGTCAGTCGTAACACTGCAGTGTCTCAAACCCTGGCCATGGCCACACTCTCCTCCAGGCACCAGTCACCCAGCCTCTGGGCCTGGCAGCCAGAGTCAAGTTAGGACTTGTCTGTGACTTCTCAAGTAGCAAACTCTGACCATCGCCCCTCTTTTCCATCTTCGCATTCTCTTTCCCTGTAGATCAGTGATTGTTTGCCTTCTAGTTATCTAAACTTCAGAAAGTCTTAGTTTTTGAGAGTATTCTTACTTCAAGAATACATAAATATACCTAGGAGAATGTGCTTTGTTTTTATACTGTAACTTTTTCAGAGTTTGAGCATGTAAATTTCCTCTATGCATTTTCCTTTGTATGAGTTATTTTATTTAATGTAGGTACCTCTATTCTCAATATTTTATTTAATACATTTATTTACTTTTTCTTTTTTCAATCCTTACCCGAGGACATTTTCAATGATTTTAAAGGGAAGGAGAGAGTGAGAGAGAGTGAGATATAAACAGAAACGTAAATGTGCCCTTGCCAGGAATCAAATCCACATCCTTTTGGTGTATGGTACAGTATTCCAGCCAACTGAGCCACACCGGCCAGGGCCAAATTTAATTTTTTAACATTTATCATTTTACAGAAGAGAAAGCAGGCACAGAGAGGTTAAATAACTTGTTCAAGATCACCCAGCTACTGAGCTACGGTAGGATTTGGATTCGAACCCAGATAGTCAGGCTAATCCGGTTCCAGAGTCTGTGCTCTTAACCACTGTGCTGGACCGCCTCTTGGATACACATGCATTTCTTTCAGGTGTGAGACCCATTTCATGTGAGGAAGGAGGAAGGATGTGTAACTGCACATTCTCTCCTGTGTTTATAGCTCTTCTTCATGCCTCTGTGTCCTCACTTGAGGATATGGTTGGGGTTAGGAAACGTTTTCTCTTACACGCACATGTCTGAGTTTTTACATGGTTTCCTTGATCTGCCCACCCACCTGCTTAGTACAGAGACCCCTCGCCTCATTTTGCTTTTTTTTTCTCTGCTCCCTTTCCTCCTGCCGTTGCTGTACCTTCTACCCCTTTTCTTTCTCTCTCCCACATGCTCCCTGAACCACATTGGACCTCGGTCTCTACATCCCTCCTTGGAAAGCAGAGAACTTTGTTTTCTTTCCCCATGGAACATGTATGCCTTGGCTCCCCTCACTTCCTCCTTTTAAATTTATACCCTTTATAATATTCTGCTGCACATAATTTTGGCTCACCAGAAATGACGTTCAAAGGTCACTATTTCCTGACTCCCAAACCCTGGGCCAAGTCTTTGGAATTTCCAAGTCCTTATTTTGCCTTTTCTTCTATGACCTTGAACAGAGTCCTTGGCTCTTTTCCTTTGCCTCCCATTTATAAAATACAAGATAACCGGCTTACAGAAGAAGTGCTGTTGTATGTTAGGGAGAGGGGTGAATTGAGCTTGAAGAAGCAGAAGGGTAGGGTGGGACTGAAAGTTATTTTTTAAGAATCTTAGAAAATCTGCCTTTTAAAAAAGTGCTAATTGAAATAGAATCTTGAATTTGCTAGCTCGCCACCTGGTGGGCAAAAGTCAGACTTGAAAACCAGCTGGGTGAAGGAGCAGGGAGAATAACTTGTGCTTTGGGAGAAAACCATATTTCATTATTGCATATATCATGACAATATTTCTGATCCTGGTTAGCTACTTTGTTTTCGCTTTTGAGCATGAGATGAGCTCTGCTTATTAATAGAGAAAGAGGAGAGTCTGATTATTGGAACGGATATATTGAGGTGTTAGGAAGACAAACCAAGAAAGCTGTCTCGTCTTTTTTCTCCTGGGTAAACTCTGCATACATATCAAAAGTGGTGGAAGAATTTGAAGAGTTTTTTGTAGTTGACATCAGACAAAAAAAAAAAAATCCTTTTGAAATATCTGCCTAGAATTTAACTTTTGCCAGAATACAAAAAGTGCTTCATTTGGACAATATTTATGCTAAAGGATTTGCGTCACTTTAAAATTTTTCTGTCACAAGCCTCTTGATCTCTAGTGCCCCAGAATAGTATGGTGTATGATATTGAGAAACACTGTTTTTTGCTGTCTGGTACGTTGACATTTTCCCCAAGTAATATGGGCCATGTCTTCTCTTCATTTTTTGTTGGTGGTGTTTCTTTTTTTTTCTTGAATGTCTGCACTTTCCTTATCTGATTCCTCTAAAGTAGGCATCACAAACAGAGGTGGTTCCAGGCATGGGGAAGAGAAGTATAGGAGTGAGGTGAGAGTCAGGAAGTGCGGATCAGAGACCTCACCTCTCTGATGGAACAGCTGACATGCAGCTCCAGCCAATTGTGACCACATGGGAATATGAACCTGTCCCTGGCAAATCTTTTTTTTTTTTTTTTTTTTGAAGAGAAACTCAAAATTTGGATGTTTTAAATGTCATTTTAACAAATCTTTTGAATACGGATTTGCTCACACATTAAAATAAAATCCCGTATGATCCAGGTATCAACACCTCTGTGAGTTCAATTTGAGATTGGAGCCCCCAATTTTTTACTTCTGCTGAAACCTCATGCAGGCGATCTCTTGGTTAAGTGCCTTAAATTAATGCATGTTAGTAGCTTAAGTTGCTAATAAGACCATCAACTAAAGAAAACAATAAATTAAAATCTTTCTAACTCATTAGTCAAACGAGTTTGACAAAGTCCCTTAAATCATTTCCCTTAAATGATAGTTTGAATCAGCATTTGATTCAGTATTAGTATGTGTACCAGAAATAAACTACTGCTCTTGCTTTTTTGGCAGCTGTCTGACTCCCTGCCTCAGGTGACACTTTTCCTGAGATTTATTTAGACGTTAACCATCCTTCTTCCTCATTTTGACGTTGCAGTTTTGTCTTCTTGTAAAAAGAGAGTTTGAAGGGTAGGAAAAGGAGAATCCCTTGCAATATAATTTTTTGAGTTTCTGATTTTCCCATACCTACTTCAGAGTTTAGATATTTTGTTTAAAATGTATTTTAATGATTTTTTTTCTTTTTTTTTTTTTTTTTCAGAGAGGAAGGGAGAAGGATAGAGAGCTAGAAACATCAAATGAGAGAGAAACATCGATCAGCTGCCTCCTGCACTCCCCCTACTGGGGATTGTACCCACAACTAAGGTACATTACCCTTGATTGGAATCGAACCTGGGACCCTTCAGTCTGCAGGCCAACACTTTATCCACTAAGCTAAACCGGTTAGGGCAGAGTTTAGATATTTTAATGGGAAAATTCAAAGAAAAATATTTCACTTAAGAAACTAACCCATCCTCTAGTATTTTTTATTTAAGGCTGCCATTTTTTATTTTATTTATTTTTTTTTTTTGTAAGACTAGAAATCTGCAATTATAATTCAGGTTCTTGTCATAGTGCTCACAAGCATTAAGGAATTATGCACTGATACATTCCAGGCTGAAATGTTTTGGCAATTTTTTGTACTCAGAGCTTAAAATGTGAGTTCATACCTTACAGAAGATATAAAAGAAAAAACAATCATATTCTAGTTGAAGTTCCTCGGCTCTGACACTTCTTTGGTATTTATAGAGGAATTTATCAGGTCTAACTTTCGTAGGCAGAAAATTAAAGCTGTGGGCTTGGAGGTCAAATATGCTGGTGTTTGAATTTCGGATCGGCTTCTTAGTAGCTTGCGCAAGTTATTTCTTCTAGGTTTGATTTCTCATTTAA